TTTTTTCTTTTTGCTTATGTGGTGCTGAGGAATCGAACTCAGGGCCTCAGGCATGCAAGACAAGCGCTCTACCACTGAGCCACCTTCCCAGCCCCCGAAGACATTCTTTTATCAAAACATTTCTCAACAAGGTGTCCCGTGACTACCATGTCTAGGAATTGACAGCAGTGGTAGCATTTAAATATTGTTACTTAGTCAAGAGTTTGCAGAAATAATTTTTTCCTATACTTTTTTATTTTGTGCCTATCCTCAGGGTCTGGGCAGTGTGCCTGAGTTTTTGTTGTGCTCAAGGCTAGCACTCTACCACTTGAACCACAACTCCACTTCTGGGTTTTAGGTGGTTAATTAGAGATAAGTCTCACAGACTTTCCTGCCCAGGCTAGCTTTGAACTGTGATTCTCAGATCTCAGTCTCCTGAGTAGCTAGGACTGGCATGAGCCACTGGCATCTGACTTTTTTTCTTCTTCTATACTTTGATCTTTGTGCCGTCTGATCAAAGAAAGCTCTTCTACATCTTGGACTTTTAGGATGTGGTGATTCAATGTCAAAAAACCTGACCCAGCTCACTCCTAGGGGAAGTCAGGAGCGGCCATGACAGTCTTACTGCAAGAAACACCCACTCACCTTCAGCAACGGAGTAGCACATGAGGAAGTCGGCTCCAGCTGGCAGCGTGTACACAGAGGCTGCATCGACCTCTGTTATGTTGTTGTCTAGCCGGTCTGTCTGATGGTCCACCACATCCAAAGGAATGACAGGCACATCATGCTGGTTTCCCCGGCATGCCTACAAGAGGAGGAAGACATTTCTTTGCTTACTGTTTTCTTCCCACTGTGTACCAAATGTGGAATTCAGTTCAACTTGTATCAATATCAGAGGAAACAAAATAAGTAAATAGTACATTAGTCCAGGAATGGTGACACATGACTATACCAACTACTGGGGAGATGGAGGTAAGAATGAATGAAAGGCCAACCCAGGGAAGAAAGGTAGTAAGAGCCTGTCTCAAAACTCAAAAGAGGCTGGGAATGTAGCTTAGTGGTACAGTGCTTACCTAGCATGAATGAAGCCCTGGGTTTGATTCCTCAGTAACACATAAACAGAAAAGGCAGGAAGTGGTGCTGTGGCTCAAAGTGATAGAATACTAGCCTTGAGCAAAAGAAGCTCAGGGACAGTGCCCAGGCCCCAGAACTGGCAAATAAAAACAAAAACTCAAAGGGGGTCAGATGCCAGTGGCTCACGCCTGTAATCCTAGCCACTCAGGAGGCTGAGATCTATCTCAGAATCGCAGTTTGCAGCCAGCCAGGGCAGGAAAGTCCTGAGACTCTTGTCTCCAGTTAATCACAGAAAAAGCCAGGAGTAGCATTCTGGTTCAAATGGTAGAAAGCTAGCCTTGAGCAAAAGGAGCTCAGAGACAGTCCCTAGGCTGAGTTCAAGCCCCTGGACCAGCCAAAAAAAAACCCAAAACAAAACACCTCAAAATGGGTGAGGAGGTGGAACACTTACCTAGCATGCAAGCACAAGGCTCTGGGTTCATTCTGCAGTACCACAAAACAAAATCCAGAAAGCATTCAGGCTGACAAGGGACGAATAGCTGTTTCCTTATTTTCTTTTAGTTAATAATTTTTTTTAAAAAATTGGCCTTTCCAAACACCCAAACTATGTTGAAGAGTATTCGGTAGAGAAGGAGAAACCCACTGTGTTTTCAGAATTTCTCATGTTATTAATCATACCACAGCACTGGGAGTTACTCTGTTTTAAAAGCTATGGTATTCACGTAAGTATTTTTCATCAGGCAACAGTTTCAGGTGTCAAGATGACATTGCCTGGCCTGAGACAGCCTTCAGTGTGCCTTTCTCCTCTGGGTTGCACTTTGAAGGAAGGTTCTAGGTTTGTATGCACTAATTTTGGCCCACTATCATTAAACACGTGTGTGTGTGTGTCTGTGTGTGTGGATCAAATTCTGGCCCACTATCATTAAACGTGTGAGTGTGTGTGTGTGTGTGTGTGTTGATCAAATCCAGAGCACTTCACGCTTGTGAAAGCACTAAAAGCTCTTAGTGCTAAACTTAATCTTCAACCCAAAATTCTACTCCTGAGTACTAACAGGCTGAACTGTGTCCTGCCTGTAAAGACATACACACCAAGGCCCTAAGCCCCAGCCCCTTCAACGGGAATTAAGATAGCATGTAGTCAGAAGGCTCGATGCAGAATCTACCCCAGTATGAGACAGGTGTTCTAATGAAGGAGGAGGAAACTAAGGATGCAGACATGCACAAAGAGAGACCATGTGACAGGAGAAGGATATCTGGCCTGGGAAGCCATGGAGAGGCGTCAGAAGCAGCCAGCTCTGCCAGCACCATCTCAGGCTCGCAGCCTCCAGGACAGAGACAACGAAGTCCCATCTCTTACATTTTGCACTCCTTTCGGCAAGCTTCATGTAACTTGGATAAACTCAGCTACTGCTGTGACTCACATAGACCAACCATTTCCTGATTACTTCTATTTCTCCAGCCAACCAGGACTCCTACCTTAGGTTCTAGACTTCCATAGCCAGCTCCCCAGAACATGGATATTCCATGAAGTAGTCCAAACCAGAAATCTTACCTGGTTTTTTGTTTCGTTTTTGCCAGTCCTGGGGCTTTGAACTCAGGGCCTGGGCACTGTTTAGGCTCTAGGCTAGCACTCTGCCACTTGAGCCACAGCACCACTCCCAGCTTTTTCTGTTTATGTAGTGCTGAAGAATTGAACCCAAGGCTTCAAGCATGCTGTTCGTATAGCTGTTCCGCATGCCCACCCTGTACCACAACTTTAGGGCAGAATGTGGTACAATTTCATTCCCTCAGGCCACTAATGGAAGCACACAAAATTGCAGCACTGGGGCTCCCTTTTGTTTGAAATCCCTAGTGAACTGAGGGAAAGCAAAGGAAGAGGTGACATTGTCTGAGAAGAATTGTACTAACTTACCTGACGTATGGAATTATAACGCCTTTGTACAACTCCTTAATAATAAAAAGAAGGAAGAAAAAGATCTCTATTGAGATGCCAAATTATCTTATACCAAAAAGTATATTCCTAACATACTTAGTTGAGATACTTTGGGCAGTTAGGCAGGCAGGCAGCTGTCTTGTTTTTAGAAGTATGGGCAGGGTATGCCCAGACTAGTCTGTCTACATCATTTCCAATGTGGCATGCTCTCCACAGACCTCAACTGAGTCTGACCAAGCTGCCTTGCATGGTCCTCTTTCATGACATCTTCCCATTCCCATGGCTACCTCCACACCCAGCCCAGCTAGACAGCAGCTCCTGGGTTCATTCCTGTCATTGCAAAGGTCAATCCAGATGCTACTGTTCCAGATGCAACTCAGATTGGCCAGGTTTCACAAAGAGCCTTTCTAATTGCTGGAGAAAGTTATGGTGGAAATAGACTTTGAAGCTTTATCATCAGAAGTACCAAACCATGCATTTTGATAATTATGATCAGTCTTACCTGAATGATAAAGATCTTGGGTTTTCCAACCAAGCTCTGACATTTGTCTCCTTTGAACAAGCCAGTTAGTGTCTGAATCTCAACCTTGGCATCAAAAGCATAAATGTGATTGCCTTCGCCGTGGCTCAGGAAAACACACAAAAAGCAGTCAGCATCAGCATGGCTTGAGGTTGATACTAGGCAGGTCCCCATATGAGCACATAGAAATGAACACAAGATGCTTGTTATCTACAGAGAATTCCATCTACTAACGCTAGAACAGATACATTCCTATGGTGTGGTAGCTCTTGCTACCCTTCAAGACACACATAACATCTGCAATGAACACAACTTTTTAAAATCTTTTAACAAACTCTTTCTGATCTTTAAAAATCTGCATCATTAAAGCTCAAAGCACTACCCCTGAGCAAAAAGCCAAGCAAGAGCATGCGGCCCTGAGTGCAAGCCCCAGTAAAGGCACATGCATGCACATGCACAAAAAAGATCCAAGTAAGTTGGCAATAAATTGTCTCAACTTCCGTAAGGCAGACTGGAAAGACCCAGATGATGTCCCTAAACAACTCCAAACGCCTCCATGGTGTATCTACACACCCAGAGAGACAGAGTATCAAGACAAGACTGGGCTCCAAAGCTCTGAATAAAGTTCAAAATAATTATGTAGATAATAGCCCATTAGCAGCTGATTTGAAAATCCATGGCATGCAGCATTGATAAGTTATCAGAATGCCTCCTACAAAATGATGTTGCAAAAATCAAGATACATGTAAATATACTGTGAACATGAGGCCAGCCTGGGCTACTTAGTCAGACCTTACTAAATTCAAAACCAAATGTAGAAGCCATTTCACCCCTATCTAGAATAACAGACTCTAAACTAGTGGCATGGTAAAAAAATTTGCAGACATATACTTGCTAGCATCTCTAGATCTGGTGGATAATCCAAAAAGAGGGACAGGACCAAGACCTGCAAGCCTGAGCTTATGATACTTTGGTTTTGTCATACAATGAATAATTTGTGACTGTCTTTATGGATACCACAAGTACTCAATCCCATCAGAGCAAGATGAACTATTTAACTGAGAAATGACTTACCCTCATGAATTTTGAGCAGAAGTTCTTCTGCTTTAAGATCATTAAAGCATTTCACTTCAAATCCTAGATCTGAAAACCTGGTGATGATACATTAAATGAAATACTATCTTAGGACTTTTTCCAAGTTGTAAAATAGGGAACAGCTACACACATTTATGTCATATTATATGTCTGCTTTTTTTAGAGGCCCCTCCCTCCCCCCAAAAAAAGAATGTGATGGTTTTCCTTGATCATCCACAGTAGAATTTAACCCTAATGAGAGCAATTTAATTCACAAATATGCTAATCACAATGCAGAGCTTATTCAGGTTGAACAGAATGGGAGGGAAGCTAGTTCAGGCAAGTTCTGAAGCAAGGCCCCAATTTGAGTTTTGTGCTAGTTTGTGGGCCTAGGTGCTTGACATTCCTGCACCCCCAATGCATACAGACCTTATGGTGTATATGGGGGGGCGGGAATGTAGGGCCCCTGACCTGTTACCAGTGACACTGGCAAGTTCAGATCAGCTCAGTGTATCGGTCATCTTTCACATGCAGAAGCAAGCACTACCTGCGAATCAGGTTGTCCCTGTCTGCACAAGTGCCCCTCCGGTCCGGCAGAGTCAAGTGCCAAAAGAATTTCTCATGATTGAAGATTAGGGCAATTCCTCTCCTCTTGTGGTCCATCTTGTATTTCTCTTCTGGATCAAACATTTCCCTATGGATCAAAGGTTTAAAAAACCAATTGTTAAGTCATATTGAACAGTGAGCCTCTCCACACCCAAGGTACATGTACCATGCAGGTCTGTGGCTTCCCCCAGGTTGAGGCAGACATGCACGCTGGGGCTGGGCAGGTAAGGGACCCGGGTGGTTAACATGCTGGATGGCATATCTCTCCCATGAGCTTCCCATCACATCTGGGGCACTCCACAGGGATCTTTCCCCCTCCTGCCCAGGATCCAGTGACCAAGAACAATAGCCTGGCAGGGTGCAAGCTCTACAGCACTAGGCCATATTCTGTTAATTATTAAACACCATCCCAGGTTTAGACAACCAAGGGCAGCAACTAAGCAATCTAGAAATCAGTTCCCCACATGCTGAAATTGGCAAACTCCACTCTCTTCTCAAGCTCCCATTCTTGCTGGAGTTCTACAAGATGTTCATGACCAGCAAATGACCTGTATTAGAAAGGAACACACTTTACCTTCTGTAAAAGGCATCTGTTTCTGTCATGTTTTGTTCTTCGCCTATTTAATAAGAATGATAAAAAAAAAGAAAAAAAGATTGACTTTGGTTAGTTGACCTTGTGACTTAAAGTAGTAAAATGCAGCAGAGAGCTCCCTTCCCCCTCTGTTCTCTGTATGACCCTTGGAATCTCTGTATGACCCTTGGAAATAGAAGGAAGCTGCTCAAGAACCAATGGATGAAAGCTCAGAGCTTCCCCCAGCATCTGCTACATGGAAGTGGAGAAAATACTACACCAACACAGCCACCGCAAAACATGCCCAAGACTGTGGAGTGGGAATGAAGCAAGCAATTGCTTTGCTATGCAGAAATTGAGTCACCAGAGAAACTGAATCCAGGTTGTGGCTAACACCTGAGGTTTACACACAAGAGGATTCTGGGTGGAGGAAAGGAAGAGCCAGTCTTGCAAAAGGATCAGAACTCGAGTCTCCCCACGAACACATACAATGTGGCCCATCTGTTCTTTTACTGTTCAGACTTTGCTTGTAGCCTTCCCTCCTGTCCACCCTTGATCTGCAAATGTATAAACATCTTCCCACCTCTGGTCCCAAATGAAAACTGAGTTCTGGCCTAAACCAGTTAAAGTAGGCTCAAAACTGTATTCTAGCCATTCCCATGTTATCACAATCTCATTGTACAAATATAGTTCAGATGGTCCTGGAGCTTGCCTAAGCACACACGTAAAGTGGTTCTTGAGATGTGTTATAATTCAGCCTCAAGTCATCCACTCTGGGTTGGCTGGGTCTGGAGAGAGACTTTGTGCCAAGCCCCCTAAATGTGATAGCTTGGGCCACTGGAGAAATGGTTCTTCTTGGAGACCACCCACTAGCACCTTTATAAGTGTGTTCTAATACACTGTACTATCCTAAAGAGTCTTGGCTATCACTTCTACATTTCACATCTTGAGTGAAATTCTCTCCTGGGACACAAGACCTGAGAACAGCACTGACCTTCTGGTAGCCATAGCAACCCTCCACCTGGTCACCTCTATAATTGCCCACAGGCAGGCCAGGCTGCAGTCCCTGCACAGCTGACACCTGTACAGACTTCCCCCTCCTGCCACATTCAAATGTTGTCCAGGTCTCTCCTCATCTTGTATCCAATTATACAGTAACCAACTGAGCCAGAGAGAGCTGAGTCAGGAAAAAACAAAACCACACCATTACCTATGACACTGCCCCCCCTATCCCGACCCTCTTGTGTGGCTGGAAAGGGGGTGCAGGTGCCAGACTTGACAGTTCACCTCCTCTAACATTTTGGAACCATTCACCACCAAGCCTAAGGAGGCACAAAGTGACCTGAAAGATGCTGTGTCACACACCCCACCACCAAAGAACTCCAGGGTCGAAAGGTAAAGGCAGTGGAGGTATATCCTTTACTGGGTCTTCAAATCTGTTCTTCATATTCTCTGAGAGATCTGAAGGACTTTCTGGCTACAGCAGTTTAAGGTGGAAGTTCAGTTATCTCTAATTTTCTTCCCGCTTGGTCAAGAACTATGGATTTCATTTTCATGCTGGTAATGGAGCAAGATCTAGGCATTGTCCCTTAGCTTTTTTGCTGAAGGCTAGTATTCTACCACGTGAGCTCCACTTTTTGCTTTTTGGTGGTTAATGGAAAGTAAGAGTCACAGGGGCTTTCTTGCTCAGGCTGGCTGTGAACCACAATCCTTAGATCAGATATCTAATAGCAAGGATTACAGGCATGAGACACTGGCAACAGACTTTCTTTTGTTATGAATGCTGCAGACCTAGAAAGAAACGACTCTGAAAACAACTTGGTTCTGATCCAACGTCTGATCCTCCCTATAATATAGAATTGCATCCTATATCTGTAGCAGCAATTTATGGCTAGGAGCAGGGGCCATTCCAGAGTACTAAGTCAGCACCGAAAGCCATGGAGACAGATCTCAGAAACAAAGTTCCAAACATCTTTGAATTTGATCAATTTACCCAGACTGCAGAAAAATGCAACACATGACCACCCTGAGGTACTTCGAAGTGCTAAGCAGACAACCTTCCAAGAACATACTTAACAAACAAGTGTCATTGCACAGCTGAGTAACAAAACCCAAACCTAAAACTATAAACAGCTTTGTTGACATGGAGAAACTATTTTGGAGGGGTCAGTTCTCACTGTGTATCGCCTAGGCTAACCTCAAACTTGACATCTTCCCACCTCAGCAACCTGAGCAGCTGGGGCTGCAGGCCTAGCCACCACACTGGAAAATATAATTTTAATGAGGTTTACAAATGTCTTCTGTAATGTAACGAAACATGAGATTTTATCACCACTTGGTTCCACCCCACCCCTTTGGTGCTAGTCCTGCTGTCCCTAAATTGTTCTCTGTGTGTGTGTGTGTGTGTGTGTGTGTGTGTGTTGTTTAAAACTCTCATTGTTTTTCCCGTATAATAATTTCATAATCTTGGGCTGGGAAGGTGGCTCAGTGGTAGAGCACATGCCTTGCATGCCTGAGGCCCTGGGTTCGATTCCTCAGCACCACATAAGCAGAGAGAAAAAAAGCCGGAAGTGGCGCTGTGGCTCAAGTGGTAGAGTGCTAGCCTTGAGCTGAAGAGCTGAGGGACAGTGCCCAGGCCCAGAGTTCAAGCCCCAAGACCGGACCCAAAAAAAAAAAAATTCATAATCTCTCAGATAAGGCTACTGCTACCACTTTCGATACTTTATCGCCCAGTGGCAGTTCCAGGACTAAGGGACAGCGATAGTGGGCCACACCTGTCCAAGGTCGGCGCTGTGGATGGAGCTGGGACTGAAGTCTGAGCCACCTGTAGATTAGAAAGTCTCTGGGCAGCCCTACCTCCTTTCCACACTGCCCATATTCTCGGCCAACCATCTGTTCAGTAAGCCACCTCGAGTCTAGAACACAGGAGGGTGTGAGGAAAGCAAAGGAAGCAGGCGAGGAAAGGAATGGAACCCATGGACGTGGCCCGGCGTCCCAGATCCCAGCACAGCGGCAGAGGGATGGCCACTGGCCCCCGTCCTGTGGTCCAGCAAGGCCACTCCCCGCACAACCTCGGGGCCTCCTGTAACGCTGGAGAAAGGCCAGGGATCTGAAACCAAGGCCCCGACTGCAGGCTTGACCCTTGCTCAAGTGTGCCAGGCAGCCTCGGCCCTGCTCCTGGCGGGCTGGCCTTGCGCCCTCCGCCGGCAGGAACGACCGCCTTTGCCGGGCCTTCGCGGGGCCGGCGGGCCGCGGCCCGAGTCCCGAGCGAAGCCGGCGGGAGGAGGGAGCGCGCGGCCTTTAAAGTTTAAATGGCCCGGCCGCGGGAGGACAAAGGCGGCGGGCCCCCGCCCGCCCCGCCGCCCCCGCCGCTGCCGGGAGGCGGCGGCCCCGGGCTCCCAGGGCTGCTCCGGCCCCTCGGCTCCAGGGCTGCTCCGGCCCCCACACCCGGACCCGCAGAGTCGGGGACCTCCGCCCCGGCACCCCCGTGCGCGCGCCCCGTAGACAGGCGCACGCGCTCCAGCCTGCGCGCCCGGCGCTCCCTCCTACCTGCAGGGCGAGGGCCTGCTGACCCCAGGCCGAGCTCAGTCATTGCCCACCGCCCGCGACTCCCGCAACGCCCGCCGCCGCAGCTGCTGCGGTGCGAACCAGAGTTCTGCACAGGCCCCGCTCCTTCCTGGACGGCCTACCTCCCGCGAAGCCACGCCCCCAGACACGCCCCCTGCAAATCGCTGCTTCCTCCACGGCCTTCCTCCCGCTAGGCCACGCCCTACGAGCAACGCTGCTTCCTCCCGCAAGGCCACGCCCCCAAACACGCCCCCTGTACACCGCGGCATCCTCCACGGCCTTCCTCCCGCGAGGCCACGCCCCGGCCACGCCCCCTGAACATCGCAGCTTCCTCCCTCGAGGCCACGCCCCGGCCACGCCCCCTGAGCGCCGCCGCTTCCTCCCGCGAGGCCACGCCCCCTCCGTTGCCCCTGGTGCTCTCCCCTCCAGCCTCCAGTGCCCAGTGCCTGGAGCCCCGGGGGAAACGCCAGTTGCCATCCCGAGGACTCTCGAGTGCAGGCCCCGGGAACCATGAGCTGGCATCTTCAGAGCACGGCCTGGGAGTCCCCACAGCTCTCTCTCCCCCAGGGAGTAGCGTTGTTTTCCTGCTTTTTTCCCTGCAGCGCTCACTCCAGAGCCAGCTCGGAAACAGAGCTTGCAGTAACATTGTAGAAAGAAAAAATAAATAAATGCTGTCTGTACCGAGGCGTGGGGCGGAAAGAAACGAGAGCCAGCTCCTGGATCTTCCCATCTGGCTTGCCTTAGTATTGCTAGTTTGGAGGAATATGGGGAAAATGGAAGAACTGCAAGAGTCTATAGAAGCTTTAATTTAGGTAGAGCACACGTTCTCTCACCCATTAAATGCCACGCAAACAACGTGCTTTTCTGGTGCCTTGGGGCAGCTCAGTGTTGAATATAACTTTCAGCTTCTTTGGTTGGCTATTCTCAAATCTGCTTCCCCCGACAATTCCTTCAGATTGGATGAAAAGCTCACTCTTCCTCCGCCTCCCCCCTCCAATATCTGGACCTTGTCATTTAAAAAATAAACAACACCTGGTGCTGGTGGCTCATGCCTTTAATCCTAGCTACTAAAGAGGATGAGATCTGGAGGATTCTCCATAGAAACCAGCTAGGACAGAAAACTCTAAGGCTTCTATTTCCAAAATAAAAAGCAGGACTGGAGGCATGGCAAAAGTGGTAGAATGCTAGCTGAACAAGAAACCCAAGTAAGTAGACAGTCCTGAGTTCAAACTTCCAGTATTACAAAGAAAAAATACACATAAAAATAATACAAAAAGGCCAAGTTGGCTAAGTGTCTTGAGTGCTAGCAGCTCTTGATACTAGCCAGTTACCTGCTCCTAGTACAATACAGCCAGCTCAGCCCGCTTTATTCTAGACAGAGATCATGGGTACTCAAAAAAAAAAAGATATGAAAGGGCTTTATTAGGACTTAATGCTGCAGCATTAGGAGTGGTACATGGAATGACCAGTGAAGGGTAAGGAGAGAATTTTTGTTTTGGGGCTGGTCCTGGAACTCGAACTCAGAGCAGGGAGCTGTCCCTGAGCTTTTCTGCTCAAGGCTAGCACTCCAACATGGAGCCACAGCTCCACTTCTCGTTTTCTGGAGGTTAATTGGACCTAAGGGTCTCATGGACTTTTCTGCCCAGGCTGGCTTTGAACTGAGGCCCTGAGATCTCAGGACCCTGGTGCTGAGCACACTGGTGTGAGCCACCAGTGCCTGACTTAAAAGAGTTGATTTTATAGACAAAAAGGGCAAGCTCAGGAATGAAGTCTGCCACACACTATACCTGGCAGCCATATAGTTCTGCTGGTCTGTGCAGTGTGGGCCTCCTCTTCTGTTTCAAAGGCGCCATTTCTAACACATTAAAATAAATACAAGGGATATTCAAGAATAAGGGAGAACGGGTTGTGCACCGCTCTTACTTTAGACTGTATACAATGGTAGCTTCCAAATTATTCATTGCCCTGAGTGATTCTATTTTACAAAACAGCAGTTTGCTTCTTCGTGTGTGCATGCGCATGCATGCACGCGTTGGTAACTTGGCTTGAACCCAGAGCCACTTGAATCATGCCTGCAGTCTAGCATTTGAGTGGTTAACTGGAGATAAGAGTCTTGAACACTTTTCTGCTTTGGCTGGCCTCAAACCTTGATCCTTCAGATCTCAGCCTCCTGTGTAGCTAGGATGACAGGCCTGCAGTTTGTACCATTTTGAGTGTAAAGGCAGAATGACTTGGCATTTTGTTTGTGCAAATAACCACAACCTGTCCAGCAAGTACAGATCACTGATAACTTGTTTCTGTAAATCAAAGATCACCACCTATGAACTTATCAAACTAAGTCATGTGACCATATCAAATTTATATTGGAAGGACCAGGTCCACAAACTTAGAACACGCCAGACCCTCTCAGCTGAATCATATAAAGGAAAGATTGATAGAAAATGACTTACACTGAAAGCACTTACCTTTTCCCCCAAGGGCCGTATATTAGAACTACTGAATCCTCTCCCCTCCCCTTCCCCCTGAACAAAAGCACCCCATGGTCTTGGAAGAGAGCCTGACGAAGTTCTGAAGCCTGGAGGACACAGATGCTGTTGAAATCTTGAAACTCCTCAGTCAAACATCGCTCACCGGCCCCCCTCCATCTCATCCGGCGTCCATCCATACCTACTGACTTCGCTTTTTCTGCTTTATATTTACAACCCCAGTTCTTAGTAAGGGAGCGCAACATTTCCCCTTCCGCTAGGATGGAGGAGACTTGGCCACCCTTCCCAAGCCTGTTGGGCTGTTGAATTCGCCCTTTCTGCCTTTTCTTCTCTTACATGCACAGATGCCAGGCTCCCAACTCTGACAGCCGCCTGTTTAAGGCAACTCACTGGACTTGCCATCCATCCAAACCCAGCAGCCCTGGAAACCTGTATCCTGAATCGGCTGAGCTTACCATCACTACACTTTGGTATCATCAGGCCTCACAACTGTGAGGGGTTTCTTTTTTTCTTTTTTTTCTCGAGACCTGGGGCTTGAACTCAAGGCTTGGGCAATGTCCCTAAGTTTCTTTTGCTCAAGGCTAGAGCGCTACCATCTGATCCACAGTGCCACTTCTGCCTTTTTCTGTTTATGTGGTACTGAGGAATCAAACCCCCCAGAACTTCATGCATGCTAGGCAAGCACTCTACCACAAAGCCACATTCCCAGCCCTGTGAAGGGTTTCTTAGGTCAATATCTAATCATCTGAAGGTCGTTTATTTGCTTCCTATCAGCAATCTGCTCTTGTCTACAAGGCTTCTGAACTCTATAGTCACTTTAATCCCGTGACTGAGATTTAATATTAGTGATTAAGATTGGAATAGAAAAGCTGTGGGCAACCAAGCAAAATCAGTAGCACTTGACAAATGCCAACTAAATTGATACAGCATGTGAATTTGATTCTGTCAGGTTTTGAAATTGTGGAAAGACACAGCTCATTCACTTGTTGCTTTTTATGCCAGTTCTGGAGCTTGAACTGAGGGTCTGGGTGCTGTCCATGAGCATTTTTGCTCAAGGCAAGGACTCTACCACTCTCCACTTCCAGCTTTTTGGTGGTTAAAAGAGCATCAGACTTTCCTGCCCCAAATGGCTTCAAACTATGACCCTCAGATCTTCACCTTCTGAGCAGTCAGGATTACAGGCATGAGCCATCAGCACCTATTAGTACTTGTGCTAGTGCGGTCAAGTCCTGTATCTCTTGGTCTTTGTGCTCACGTATTGCTTGAGTCCATATCTACAGCTCAAGTTTTTTGGTGGTTAATTGGATATCAGAGTCACAGATTTGTCTGCTTGGCTTTGAACCAAGATCCGCAGATCTGCCTCCTTAGTAGTTAGGATTATAAGTGTAAGCCATTGCACCAGTCCATTTTTTTGTTTGCTTTTGTCAGTCATGGGGCTTGAACTCTGGGCCTGGGCGCTGTCCCTGAGCTCTTCAGCTCAAGGCTAGCACTATACCACTTGAGCCACTTGGAGATAAGAGTCTCACGGACTTTCTTGCATGGGCTAGCTTTGAACTGCGATCCTCAGATTTCAGCCTCCTGAATAGCTAGGATTATAGGCATCAGCAACCAGTGGCTGGCACCAGTTCATTTTTTATATAGTTTGCTCAGTATATTTTCTAGGAATAAAATAAAGTTTAACTTGACACTTTGTCCTGTATGTATTCATGTTTAAAAAGAAGGGGTTTAATTCAAATGAAGTCATCTGTTCATTTCCTGATTGCACAAAATGCTGTATCCTTTCTAGAAAAAGTCTATGCTCCTGTGAGCGTGCTGCCTTCAGTGATTATCTAGGGTAGCAGCACAAGCCATCTCCTTCCCCTTTAAGACTGCCTCCCAGTGCCAGTCATTCTGTCTGTAGTTCCAACATGGTCTATCAAGTGCGCCCTTCTGTGGCGGTTACACAGCACTCTGGGCGTGCTTGCCCTGTGGAAAGCACACAAACAGTGGTTATTTGTTTTATTACCACCGTCTCCTGTTAGCTAGGTGAAAGCAGACCCACTTGCTCTCTGTTTTCCTCATTATCAGTCAATGGTCCAGTAGAAGGTGTTTATGTTTGGTAAATATTTAGCCACAGAGTGAATTTCAGCATTTCAACATTTGCACTCTGGACGGCATCCAGCCAGAGTGAGTTGTCTGGCTATCCAAACTTCCTGTTCTTAGGTCTGACTTTCTAGGTCTTAGCCTGAGTCCTAAAAATTCTTGCTGGATAAGAGGAAAATCCTCATAGGCTGACCTTCCATTGACCTGAAAGGAGAGGAAAGGAATTGTTTTTTCTCTCAAGTATTTTATGCCAAAATATTTTTTTTATTACTTTATTAGTTTGGATTTTTTGAGATGGGGTTTTGCTACAGTCCAGGCTACCCTCACATGTGTGATTCTCCTGCTTCCTACTAGCCAAGTACACACTGCTAACATATTTTATTACCTTTGTGGTTTTGGAGACACAAAGTCTTGTTATGTAGCTCAGGCTGGTCTTCTGACCTTATTGCCCCAGGCTTCTGAGTGCAGAGATTACATCTTCTAATGTAATATTTTGTCCATTTTAAGATATCTAATGCATTTTGTTAGTCAGATTTCCATTAGTGTA